AGAATACAGTTTAAGTCAAAACTTCACCCACCAAGTGGAGAAAAACAGACCAGCATTTCCAACAGGAATTCAACCCAAATGAGCCAAAACCGAGCCCAACATACGGGTAAACCGAGCCCAATATAGAGGCAAACCGAGCCCAGCACAGAGGCAAAATTGAAAAAAAAAACCTCCAACCATAATTCAATTCCAAAAGAGCCAAACCGAGCCCATCTATATATAAAAAAAAAAATTCAGCAAGGATCTAACTCCAAAGAGCTAACACCGACTCCATCCATATGAGGAAAAACAGAGAAAAATTTCCGACATAAGTTCTATCCCAAAAGGGCCAAACCAAGCCCTTACAAAACAGAGAAAAATTTCCAATAAGAATCCAACTCCAAAGAGCTAAAACCGAGACCTACCATATGGGATAAATAGAGAAATTTTTCCAATAAGAATCCAACTCCAAAGAGCTAAAACCGAGCCCTACCATATGGGAAAAACAGAGAAAATTTTCCAATAAGAATCCAACTCCAAAAAGCTAAAACCGAACCCTATCAGACGGGAAAAACAGAGAAAAATTTCCATCCAATATTTCCACCTAACAAAGCCAAAAAACCGAGCCCTTCAAATGGACCAAATCAGCTAAAAAAAATATTTCTCCTTGGAGCCTTATATTCCAAAGTATTGTGTCAGCATATGTTTCAAATAGAAACAAATAACAGGAAAAATATAAGTGTACATGAATCTTTAGAGCCAACATGTCATCCAGCTTTGAAACGAATTCCAGCATTTAATCGAATAAAGCTAAAAATAATCTCCTTGGAGCCTTATATTCCAAAGTATTGTGTCAGCATATGTTTCAAATAGAAACAAATAACAGGAAAAATATAAGTGTACATGAATCTTTAGAGCCAACATGTCATCCAGCTTTGAAACGAATTCCAGCATTTAATCGAATAAAGCTAAAAATAATAGAGAGCCTTAAAATCAAGACCCAAACCATCATTTCATTTAACATATATTTCAAATAGGCAGCTATCATCTCATGGCAATCACAGGAATGTTCCAAAATTCTATCCATCGTGTATTTTTTAGCAGAAAAAAGAAAAAAAAATATCTATATCATGCTTCATTTTCTACTGATTCTAGCAAGTATCTATGCTTAAATCTCAAAACAGGCCTTAACTTTATTTTCACATGCTTTAGAAGAGAAAAGAAGTATTTTGGATGCCATCCGAAATAGTGCAAAATAGAGGAAAGAAGGGGAATACCTTTCTAATGCAGACTTGAAGCAAAAAAACTATAAGACAGATTCAAGAAAACCACTCCTACAGAAATCCTCTTCCTCAAAGCTTCAAAAAACAGCAGCGCACGAGAATCTAACTTAAAGAGGATTTCGGCAAAAGTTCCCTTCCTAAAAGCTTCATAAAACAACCCAAGAATGACACCCAGCACACGAGAACTTAGTCTACAAATGATTTCGGCAGAGCTTTCTTTACTAAAAGCCTCAAACAGTAAAACCACAACCTCCCATTCTCTCAAGAAATTTTCAACAACCCAAAACAGTACACGAGAAACCCTTTTTATAACCAGAGAAAAAAGGGAGGACAGCCACCTAACAGCCTCACTGGTAGGCGAATCAAACGACAAGGTAGCAATCGCCACAATAAAGAGGGAGACGACAAAACCACGAGAGAAGAAGGTTCGGCCAGTTCGGCCCCCGAAGAGGCTAGCGGTCGTGTGAAGAAGGGGAAGACTCGAGAGAGGAGGAAGAGATTGCCGCGTGGATCAGCCATGGGAGCTAGGGCAAACTAGGGAGACGAGCCAAGCACCTGACCACGTCGCGGGGTCGAACGGAGGATTAAGTGTGCGGGAATAGGGTTTAGGGTTTAAGATTAAAAAACTTTATTATAAATAATGATATAAATATATAAAAAAATATTTAGTATTTCAAGAACAAAATCTGATTTATGCACATTTATTCGTGTGTCAGATTGTACAAAATTGAATGTTCCTTTTAGATAATTTTGGCATTCTGGACGCGCTAGCGCGGTCCGTTTCACCACTGGAAGTCGTTTTGACGAATTCATCGATTTGCGTGCAATTTTGCTCGTGTCAGAAATATGACAATATGGGTGTCTTTTTCTACTAAAATTGGTGTCATTGACGCGTTAGCATAGTCCATTTTGTCGTCGGAGGTTATCCGGAGAAGTTTATTTATTCGTGTGTCAGATTGTAGAAAATTGAATGTTCCTTTTAGGTAATTTTGGCATTCTGGACGCGCTAGCGCCGTCCGTTTCACCACTGGAAGTCTTTTTGATTAATTCATCGATTTGCGTGCAATTTTGCTCGTGTCAGAAATATGACAAAATGGGTGTCTTTTTCTACTAAAATTGGTGTCATTGACGCGTTGGCATAGTCCATTTGTCGTCGGAGGTTATCCAGAGAAGTTCGCATTTTCACTCATCCTTTAGGCTCAATTTAAATTCGATCTTGTGCAATTTAGTGAATTTTGTGCAGCATGTGATGATAAAGTCCTTAAGTGGTTTTCTTAGGGCTGGAGATCCTATAAGGAACTTCTCCTTGAGTCTACACATGATGGCATAGTCCATTTGTCGTCGGAGGTTATCCAGAGAAGTTCGCATTTTCACTCATCCTTTAGGCTCAATTTAAATTCGATCTTGTGCAATTTAGTGAATTTTGTGCATTTAGTGATGATAAAGTCCTTAAGTGGTTTTCTTAGGGCTGGAGATCCTATAAGGAACTTCTCCCTGAGTCTACACATGATAGTCCTTTACCACTCGACCATAGAACGATGATTTTGAGATCATCAATGCGAGACACCACAAGAGAAATAAGAAGTGGCTAGAATTTCAAAAAAGGTTGGGTCCGAATTCTAATTTTCCAAGATAGTCAATAAGAACCCCTAAAGATAGATCCGAGGATCCTAAAGAAAAGAGTAATGACCTCAAAAATGAGGTCAACAGCTGATTGCAGGAACAAATAAGGAGAAAATCAGGAGCTTGAAGAATCAGTTATCAAGTGAGTTTGAGGATCCTAAAGAAAAGAGTAATGACTTCAAAAATGAGGTCAGCAGCTGATTGCAAGAACAAATAAGGAGACAATCAGGAGCTTGAAGAATCAGTTATCAAGTGAGTTCTAGATGAAGGATTTTCAGGTCCAATCAGAAGATCCTCAGAATGAGAATCAACAGAGACAAGAGTGCAAGAACACTAAGATTGTCTCAGGTAGAGTATATTAAAAAAATCCTACAAGTTCAACACGAATGAGGAGAAACCAGTAAGCACTCCCTTAGGTAGTCAATTTAAATTATCTAAGGAGCTATCAACTAACTCTAAAGCAGAGCAAACACAAATGGAGAGAATACTGTATGTTTCAGCAGTTGGAAGTTTGATGTATGCGATGATTTGTATCAGGCTGGATATTGCATAGACAGTGGGAGTGATAAGCTGGTACATGGGCAATCCAAACAGACAACATTGGGAGGAGGTAAAGTGGATTCTCATATATTTGAGAAAATTCAACAAAGCACATTGTTATGGAAGTATAGGGATCAGATTCAGATCTGGCAAGAGATGTGGATAACAGGAGAAATATAATGGGATATATCTTCACATTGGGAAATACAACGGTGAGTTGGGTTTCCAGGTTGCAGAAGATTGATGTACTTCCAAATATGGAGGTCAAATATGATGCTAGTGCTGATGCTAGCAAGGAGATGATTTGACAACAAAATTTTATGGAAGAATAGGTCAAGGAGTAGAGAATTGGAAGACTTTTTAGTGACAGTATGAGTGTGATTCATTATTCTAAGAAAGCTATTTTTCATGCCAGAATAAAACACATTCAGTCCACGTATCATTTCATTTGCTCTCTTCTTGAAGATGGAAAATTGTTCCTGGAGAAGATACACACAGCTCAGAATCTTGTGTATATGTTGACAAAGGTGTAACTGTTGAGAAACTGAAATTGTGCATGGCTTCAGTTAGGTTTGATGAAGATTGAGATCATGGGTGAGCCATGCCAAAGGCGATTCAGATGGAGGTATAGGTACATAGGATTGGTGTTGGGTACTATTTTTTCCAAGTGGGAGATTGTTGTGTATATAGAGCAAAAGCAACCCAAGATCCCGACACCTAAGCGCCTACCTTTGGATGTTGCCAGACAGGGGGGCGCAGAGCGCTTTTGTGTCCTCTTTGAGAGCTCAAGCGCCCATATTTTTGGAGCAAACAAAGGATACGGCGATCAAGCACCCAGTTTGCTAGGCACGATCCCGAGAGCTTGGGGCTAAGCTCACAGTGCAGTTACTCCACTTTCTTAGTTTTTAAATCATTTTTGAACAGCGTAATGATGAGTTGGGTGTAAGTCTTCCTTTGGTGTTCTTCAACAAGTTCTAGATGACGGAGATAAGAGTTGGAAAGGAGGATTTCTAGAATTTCGGCATGCTTAGGGCCGAAGGAAGATTGTGGAGCGTCCTGTAAAGTTTGTTCGTGTGAGTGTAGAGAAGAAACTTGTGTGAGTCCTTTGTAAAATTATTTGATTTTCATAGTTAATTTATGGTGGTGTGGCTCCATGGTTTTTTTTCCATTCTCGAGTTTTTCCACGTAAATTCTCGTGTGTTTTTCTGGTTGTTTTGGATTTGCTTCTGTGCTTAAATTTATTGTTTCGCTTTTCTCGAATCTTGTGATCCTATTCCGCAGTGAAACTGGGAGATTATTTCAAAGTAGTTTCTCCCAGCAAATAAAAAATAGCAAAAGATAAAACCAACAAATTAACCAAATTAGAAGTGTTTTCATTGAAATCACAGCTAAGGGGTTTGTTCTATTATAGAGGATTCAGTAATACAAAAAATGTATCCGATGACAAAAAAGGTTATATTTAATGGAAATAAGATAGAAAAAAAAATTTTCACACATAATAATAGTTTTCCCTGCTAAAAAATTATCTAATGTAATCTTAACAATTGATTTTACGTCAATCAAATCAGAAATTACCACTTGTTGCAAGGAGATATAGCAAATTCTGTGATATGTCTCCTATAGTTTTTCACATTTACAGCATCCATTTTACAAAAATTTCTGAAGTCATGTTCCCCAATGAACTTTTGGGCAGCTTTCTGCATAACCTGGTTGTTGCATCAAACAAAAGCATTGCTTAGTACTACTACTTAATATAAATATTTATGATTATTCAAAGAAGACAATAACATGCATGCAAAGACGCACAAAAAAGTAATGAAGTACTAACTGATATATCCATAGACCCTCTCCAGAAAAGATACACATACTCTCTGCTTAGGCAGCTAAACCTGCAATGAATCAAGATGTTGAATTATATTTTTTTAAACATGTCTTGAGAATCATTACTTATAATAGAAAGTACCTTCAATTTCACAAAATCATAAAATAAGTTAAATAGGATTATCCCAAAAGAATACGAGTTATTGTAATCCTGTAGAGGTAACCATCAAAGAAAATCATAGCCTAGTGTAACCGATGGAAATTCCACAACTGAAGGAATAATAGTAGTCAAGGAAGGAAGCCTCGAGTTATGGAATTATGATGATTATATTGCTCGAAGAATCACATCAAAGGCCAGTAATTAAGTAGCATAAGTCACAACAACAGCAGAAACACAAAAATTGAACCAAATAGACACTAGGAAACTAAACTAAATGACAAACTTTAAAGGGTTGAATTGGTCGAAGTTCAAGCCAACACAAGGAATCAAACTAGACAAGCTAGTAGAATAGTTAACATAAGAGAACACAACCCATTCTAATAACAATCATCATATGAATGACTAAAATATGCTAAAGCCACTCGGGCTCCTTTAGCATACAGCATAACAAACACCTCAAAACTCTTATTAACCACTTTAGATTATCCATTACTTTGTATTTAACAAGCAACTGAAAATTTTAATCGAGTTTCTGGCTGTTTCCATATTAATTTAAAAATATTTCATGAAATTCACATCTCAGCCAGACAATAACTTTAGACAAATTATGCAATCTAGCTACTTTACTAAAAGATAATCAGCAAAATATGATGCATTAGACATTTTAATACATAGAAAAACTAAGCCAATTCAAAATTTGACAAATAAACCAACCAAGATAAAAGATGGATTTAAATTTCCTAAAAAATTGGGGCAATCCTAACCCAAAGTCTAAGTTAATTTCATCCCAAAGCTCATAATATATAGGTAAGGGTATGTGTAATCTAATCTCATATATTTTTCCTTTACTTGTTTGACAAGTCCAGGATTATGAGATAATTTGAGCTACATCAAACTTCAAACTTGGCTGCAGCCATATAGCTATATCCAAACCAAAATGTCTTACAGCAACACTACCATGCAATTCTAGATTAAGAAAATTTCTTTAAAATGAATAAAAAATGCATAAATAAATTCCCTTAAAAAGATAGTCATCTTCAACCATAAATTCTTTATTAAGCCCAAGTGTTTCATAATTTAAGTTATGTTATATTACAAAAAAAAGAAAAAAAATTCATTATATGTTTCCTTCAAGTACTAGCAAATAGCATAATCCTCACCTTGATTTTTATTGTATGCAAAATCACTGCGCTACTCCATACATCAACAAGCATGTTCTCAACTCTAGTATAATGTATCAGTATAAACTCCTACTCTGGTCAAAATTAAACATATTTAGTATGTTTGTCCTTTGTCATGGTGAATATAGATGCTTATATGCTTGATGATCAAAATCTCAGATAATCTCCTCAAGTAATAGGTGAAATGTCCTGTATAGAAGAGCTTGCACAACTACATAAAACTCTCTATCGTAGGTTAAACATTTCTACTTAGCCTCACCTACAACTAATTAAAATAAACAATAGGGCATCCTTGACTTTAGACTCTTCCAATACATATACTTAACATTTGAGCACACATACATTTGTAAGCTTTTTCTTCATATCCTTAGAAACCAATTTCTTCCACTTAAACTCTTCATCTTAAGAAAGGAGGTGATCAGCGGTATCACCTTCACATTTAAGAACACTGTCCTCTATGACACTCATCAGGTTTGAAATATTACCAAAGATATTTTTATTCCACCACATTCTTACTTCAATCTTTTGTATTTTTGCTGAAGCATTTAGAAAGACCTAAAACAGAGGTTTTCAGCTTTACTGAACAAAAGAAAAAAAATGGATGGTGTTTTGTTGACATGTATTAGAATCTAAAAAAGGTCGAACCAAAGACGTTGAACTTGGAAATCCTAATTTGAAGAGATAAAAGATGATGATTTATAGAAAGAAGTTCGACCATAAAACTTTGAATCACATAATATAACTTAGGGTTAGCAAATTATTAATTTCCTCAACTTGCTAAGTTTGGCAAACAGTCAATCACATAATATAACTTAGGGTTAGCAAATTAATTTCCTCAACTTGCTAAGTTTGGCAAACAGTCCATCACCGATTTCAATAAAACCCAAAAATATCACATTTTGTGTAACAAAGCATCTCTTTCAATTTAAATATAACTTTTCATTTTACAGTGCTTCAAAGACTTTCCAAAGATATACCAAATAATCTTCTCTACCCTTATTATAGATCATTAAAATACAGAAAAAAAAAAGCAGTGAAAACTCGAAGAATCTGATTCATCATGCTTATTGAAATATTCAGTACATTAATAAATCCAAAAGATATCATCAAATATTCATGCAATTCATCTTTAGTCCTAAAAAGATTTGTATTCTCTATAGTAACATCTCTAGTTATCATATCCAACATATAATCTAACCTATAAATAGGAACTCAATATTTGATCATAATTTCGTTAAATGTTATATCATCCACATATTCATCGACTACCATTTCTCTTATCCATAAGTAGAAGTCACAAAGGGACTCATACTCTCCAAAATGAATCCATGCCAAGGAAAATTATATATTTATCTATTAAACTCAGCATGATCGCATGGATTCAAAATAAAATGTGTCAAACCAGGTAATTATGGTCCATGAATAGAACAAATAGTTATACGCCTGGAGTGGCAATTCATTGGGAAATAAGTATTTGAAACCAAACAATTATAAGCACAAGCCAAGGGACAACATCTTACAAATTTGTAGACATCAAAGCATAAATAAAATTTTCTTTTATCCCTCATTTTCAAAAGCATGTTGGTTCAATATATCTCTTGCTTTCTTCAATTTAAACGCTCAAATTACTTGAAACAGACAAAGAGGTATTCTTAAGCTGAACAGGTTTTAAGATTATTCTCTCCACATCACAATTGAGTACATACGCATTAAACCTCTCAAAGTAAGTCAGGCCGAAGTCCAATAACAGAAATTGAATCAGAATAATAAGCACCACATCCATAAGAAAAGAATTAAAATAGATAACATCACTTTATGTAAAATGTTCCATGGGCACCAGAAAACTTGGTATCACAAAAATCAAAAAATTTTCAACCAAAGCTATCTCATGTGAATCATGATGTGTATCATGTTTCAAGTTCAAATGATAAGCAAATTCACACAATTCTCATTAAATATGATGTCCTTAAGCAGTAAAATATGATAAATTCATTAAAAAGATAGCATGAACCAGCAATTAGCCGATTACGTAGGCTAGCATCATAAAACGAAAAGCAAAACACATAAGATCAAAATAACATGAGGCATATCAAGCACTGCCTATCTAAGAGCAGGAAAATATGCCACAATCAAACATCCGTCTAAAATAACAAAATCATCAAGAGAGTTATTACACATAGCTTGGAATCTAATAAATCTGAGAGATAGAAAATGACATTTTTCACGTCGGTGCGTTAAAAAGAAATAAACACAATTTTAAACTCACAAGATGAATTATATGAGCAGCAAAAATATCATTAGCCACAATCATCATCTATGATAAGCTTAACATCATGTTTGAAATATGTAAGAAATATAAGAGTTCTTTAACAATCATACTCAAGCCCTAGATAGAGCAATGATATGACCTAATAACACTTAAAAAGAATTTTCTATTAAAATTTTGTCAAAATTAGTTATCTCTTTATAAAATTCATAAATGGTATCCCCTTAATTGATTTCATTATCCACTTCTCCACATCAATATGCAAATTTTTATTTTGACATTCATTTGCATATGACCAATCTAGTGGCAATTAAACAGCTTTGCAGAAACTTTTGAACCAAAAAAAATAACAGTAAAATTTCTCTTATTCTCTTTGTTAATGGTGGTATTATTCCCTTTAGAAGTGGTGGACAAAGCTAAGTAAATTTGACTAGTTTGACAAAAAAATGTACATTTAGTGAGTATGTGAGTGTGTAGTACTATTCTCATTAGTAGGAAATTTCAAAAAAAAATTGTTGAAACTCAAATGCTACTCAAACAAAAAGCTTGAGGGAATGTGATGAGAGTGCATCTTTCTTGATGTCAAGCCTTGATTCAAATCTAAACCTACAAAATGGCATTTTACAATCTTCAAAGATTTAAAAACATAATGTTAATTCTTCAAATTTGTTCATAAATTCCATTACAAAACTATTTCCTTATTTCAAAGCATTATATTCATATTCATAGGTATCCAATTGCAATAATAAATAAATATTTTTCTTCAAGTAATTTTTCATTCCAATCAAAGTAGTTGACTAGTAGTAGGATCTCTTCCAATCTCATCTTTATTTTTCCATAGTCAATCAATATACTTTAGCTTGCCCAATTAATTTAAATTTATGCTGACCCAACATTGTTTGCAATTCAAAAAAATATCCTAAATTTCTACTACTTAATAAAAACAAATTTTACGATTTATCTAATCATCATTGAAGTTTAGCTTATTAATTATAGTACATCTTATGTCACAGATTCGATGTTTATGAATACCAAGTTTATGAATACCAAATGTTTCATAATCATAAATTGAACAAGTTCTTTTTGAATGCTTTCTTGCAATAAATTTCTCAACTCCTTCAGATTTTAACATTAAAATTAAACAGGTTCATCATTTTAATTTTATTCAACATCTTGTTCGTGCAAATGAAACTGAGGAGTTCCCAATATTTTAGTTCGCTCTTTAAATTTGAAATATAAATAGTTTCAATCATTTGATTTTTGCTTATTTAGTAAATCAATTAATTAGTTTTACAAATTTGTCAAAATATCATCCTTTCACCACCACTTACAGTTGATATTTTGAGACAAGCTAAAGCTTTCATACTAAACTTGATGTAGGGCTAGTGTTATTAAAGCGCGAAGTGCAATGTGATGGACAAGCTTTTTTTTGCTTCAAAGCGTAAAGCACAAAGGAAACTGGATTAATAAACAATAGACTTATAGGTCATATAAATCTAATAAATATATTTCTAATAGCATTATGATGGAAATTTAAGAGACTTATAGGTCATATAAATCTAATAAATATAGTTTTTTTATCTAAAAACTGGGGAGCGTATGATATATTTCTAATAGCATTATGATGGAAATTTAAGAATTTTAACAATAATAAAGCAACTGATAAGCCAACATTAAGACTGTATTCAAACAAATTCATTTTAATAATTGCCCAACATCAAAGCAACTCATTAAGGATATATGCAAGAAGGAAATTTAAGAATTTTAACAATACGAAAGCAACTGATCAGCCAACATTAAGATTGTTTTCAAAGAAATTCATTTTTAATAACTGCCCAATAACAAAACAACTCATTCAGGCTTTGTGTGAGTTGTAGGAGAAAATAAACGGAAATTCGTAATAGTCACGCACCATTATTAATGGTTTATTGCAATTAAGTTGTTGGGCCTGCTTGAAGTAAAAGTAAAAACTAACCTAATTCAAATACATTTTTTTCCATTCCTAAAATCAAGCATAAGAACATTGGGAAAACCACAGAGAACCCGCAATATCTGGTTCTCCAAGCTGCAATGAACCAATTTGCCTGTCCCTATGCTTGAAAACATTTAAGTTTCAAGTTATACCTGTTAATATTAATGTATGATTAACTTTAGGTGTTAGATATGTAAATACATAGTAATTGAGTAGCATCAGTGCAAATCTTCCTAAAAAATTAACAGTTACCATGGGCTACTTGTGTGAGCTGTTTGCGGGTTTGATCGAGCGGATTCGGCGAGGCGAGTTTGACAACCTTAGTGTCTCGATTGGTCGAAGGTTGAAAGCTCTCCCCCGCGGGTTTGGCAAAACTCGACATGTTCCCTTCAGTCGAACGTCAAAGGAGACCCTCTAAAAATTCCTACGGTCAAAACATCTGCGTCTTGCAGTTGAAGCGTCTACCTCTTATGGTCGAAACGTCTGCCTCCAACAGTTGAAGTCGAAGGAAGAATATAACCTTCAAAGCACGCTTCAAACTCTAGCTCGATATCGAAGACGATGCTTGGCTCTTTCGAACATCAAATCAAAGTCGTTATTTTTGGGCTTTGTTTCCTCTCGCAAAATCATAACCCTGACTCTTGCTTCAGTGCTTCAAAAAGCACTTCAAGTGTGAAGCGCACGTTTCGCTCATAAATGTCGTGCGACATAAGCAAAGCATGTGAAGCCTGACTATGCTTTGCTTTGCACACAAAACAAGCTTCAAAGTGCGTTTTCAAAACATTTTGCAGGACATTTCAATCTTCCCTAAGGTAAATCTATAAAAAAAGTGCAAGATTATAATCCCACGAGATCAAATTCATAACCAATGACTAAAAATGAAGACAAAAACTACACACTTTTTTTATGAAAATTGAAAATAAGCAAAATCTATCCACATGATGATTTTGCAAAATTTTTAATAGAAATATATTTTGAACCACAATCTAAGAAATCAAATGGTGCTATATTTGAAAATAATCAATCACTCAAGAATATCAAACATTAAATTAGATAATAAAATAAAGCAAACGAAAGACATCAACAAATAACAATCTAAAACTCACGTCCAAATAAGGAGATAGGTTCCGCTGAAAATCTATATTCTCCAATCGCACAAGGCCGTTACAAGAGCAAATAAGAGGAAAATAATTCATAATCAAAGTTCAATACTAGTGGAACTGATTTTAGTACATGACAATAAGCACACAAGGCAAGCAAGATGCCATTAATTACAATGGTTTTAATATTCAAAGGATCACAAGTCAAGAGCTAGTAACCAAATAGCAAACAGTTTGACAACACCAAAACCCTGGAAATAAAAAAAATATGTGGGAATATATGGACTAAAGAACCAAAGAGATCAAAGTGCTACATCAACTCAGGTCAAAGATAACACAAAAAACAAACCATACCATAGAAAAGGGTTTAGAACTTTAAAAAACACACCTCCATTCTCATAGGAATCATCACATACTTGACTTTAAAAAAACCAAAATTAAAATACAAAGCTTACTACTAAAATAGAATAAACAATAAAGCTAACCATTCTTGCAGAAATCATCATAGGCTTAAAAAAAGAAAACCTAAATTTGAAATCCAAAATCCAGATACAAAATAAAATAAGCATTCCAATATAAAATAGCTAAATCGATCAAAATCAAAACCTACATAAAAACCAAACGATACCAGAGAAAAGAGTTTAAAACATTAAAGAACAAATACTTTACCCATAAAAATCATCAAAAGTCTTGGCAGAAAAATGAAAAAAACAAAGATTAAAATCCAAAAGCAAACTAATATTTTGCTCATCTCAATGTATGTATCTTGCATATCCAACAAACAAAAATATTGAGATTTGCAATGCTTGCATCAGCGCCGGTCCCATCTTCATCCCCGAATTTTAAGATGCCAAACATAAAGTTACTCATGCTAAGGAACAAAGAAGGAAAAGAAATCTAAATGCTAAATATAAAATTTGAAGCTTCTGCATGCATTCTATTACAAAAATATAGGCATAAATGAAAGTAGTACTGACACTATTAATAAGGGAAAAGTAGTAAGAATAACGGGGGAAAAAATATACCTTGCACTAAATTCTAATGAAATAGGAGCCCATCCTATTACACGAATATCTTTTGGAAGAACTCTGTTTAGCACCATAACATAATTAATTTCCTCCCCTGCATAACGAAATCAAATAGTCTCATTTCAAAAAAACGTGTTATATCAGAAATAAAACCTGAAGATGTAAGCTAATAAAGTAAATACTTCCAGTATCATTTCGTCTACAAGATTAGCAAAAATAGCCTCGACATTGTCCTCTTAATTGGATGAGAACTTTTATTACTCATTTCAACAAAAAACAAATTAAGCTGAATAAGGGCGCAAATGAATATCCTCACAATGAACAGAGAAAATATATAATTTTAGATTAACAAACGACATCTGCAAGTAGGTGTAGAGGATTAAAGTTACAACAAAACCTCATGATTCATTTTGATTACCTCCTTCGACTTCTTTTCCGTTTGACCGTAGATACAAAGAAATAACCTGCACAAAATACAAATAGAAACTTAAAGTTCCTGTGAAAATGTTCATTTACCCATGTTAACATCAGTAACAAAAAATTTAGAAGGTCAACAAAACAAACCATGAAAAATGAATTCATCAGTAACAAAAAATCTAGAAGGTCAACAAAACAAACCATGAAAAATGAATTCGCGCTTTTGAGGGATATGAAAGGACTTTTTAAATTTCATATTAATTTCTATTTGCATACAAAGTAATAATGAAATCTAAAAATTCACCAGTTATTCAAATTTCCAAAAACAAGCAAACAAAAGGCCCTTAAAAATATATACACATATAATAAAATAGGCAAAGCAACATATCAGATATCAGCGCAATGCTTCCACTAATGATCTCAAAGGTACTTTTACGATCTAGATTAATTGGATGAAGTTAAAAAAAGCTACTGTTTATACTTTATAAAAACATACACTATTTCAATCTAGACTTAAGTGGCAATTCCTGAGCTGTTTCTATGCTGAATCAAGGGATTATTTTTTTCCCAACCTCATCTGCTTTTAGGGCACCAAAAATCATGTATAAAAGCACCATCATATCAACATCTCATAAGTTGCATGTGTGTACTAGCATTACAGGGAATAAAAGCTTGCAGCATAAGATGGGAGTTAACAATATGTGCACCTCTGGGTGGAAGAAAAATATTTCCAGATATAAATTAATACTGCAATGACGTAATAACAAATCAGAAAACTAGAAAATAAAGCCAAAAAGAAAGAGCTGAAGAATAGACTACATATAAACCATACTTGGCCAGTTGCAGAAACCCCCTTGTCTGTCCTACCACACCTTGAATAATGTGAGTTTGGCCTTGTTCCTATCAATAGCTTTGTCCTTTCAAGTGCTTTGAAAATTTCTGACTGCAAAAACAACAGTCCACAAAAGACCAAGTAAATTATGCTGAAGATATCTTTATCAGCAAAACGATATACTATGAGATCTTTCAAACTAACATTTGCATATGGAGTTTTAATACATACTTTACTGAAGAAATAGCAAGTCACATCATCACTAACCTTATACATCATTTAACACAAGATCAGACACGGTACCAGTGGGCCTACCTTTTCCCTTCTTAATCTTTTAAATATTAATTACATCAATGCATCATACTGTTGCAACTTCAAAAATCCATCTGTTCATACCCAAACTACTAAAGTCTATTTTCCAACACACTAATCTTCTATAGATACTACTTCAAATATCATCATTTCTCACTCCATCCTTAGCATTCACCTTGCTCTACATTAAAAATTATTATCAATGGCTAACACTTAGATTCATATAGCATAGCCTCAAGACAAAGGCCTTAATAGAGATATAAGAAAAAAAAACCACATGGACAGACACGGGGCTCGGGAGAGGACCGGCCGGTCCTCGAGGAAGAGAGGGTACTTTCCTTTTTCCTCCTTTCTTTCTTTCCTTTTTTTCCTTACTATCAATCACCTATTTTAAAACCTTCCCTAAAACTAAGGAAGAGAGGGTACTTTCCTTTTTCCTCCTTTCCTTTTTTCCTTCCTATCAATCACCTATTTTAAAACCTTCCCTAAAACTGAAATCTGATTTTTATTCTCCTCCTCCTAATTTAAAACCTTTCCTAAAAGCCTTTCTCCTGATTTAAAACTTTTCCTAAAAGTATAAATCCTGATTTTATTATCTTTTCCTAATTTAAAACCATTCCCAAAATCTGAGATCTTGATTTTATTTTTATTCTCCTTGAAACCATTCCCAAAATTTGAGATCTTGATTTTATTTTTATTCTCCTTATTTCAAATGTTTCCTAAGTTAGGTCATCTCTCTTTATAAATAGGAAAGTTTGTAGTTAGAGTTAGGGTATAGTTTTTTGGATAAAATATGAATTTTGATTATGTTTTCCCTCTTGAGGGTTGTATCCGACGTCAATGTAATGCTCTGGCGGTTTTTTGTCTGAAGTGGTGATCGTTTCTATGGGTCTAAGTGGTGTTCCGGCTATATCTCAACCCCGCCAAGAAATTTATCTATCCTTCCGTCCTTCTTGTTGTTGTCCTCCCGCTCCACAACCCTACGACAACCCTCCTACGACCTCTCTGTTGTTCTTCCAAGTTGCTGCCAGACCTCCTATAGTCTCTTCCAAGTTGCCACCAACTCTTCCAGGTAGCCGTCAGCCCACCTATAGCCTCTTCCAGGTAGCTGTCAGCCCTCCTACGGCCTCCTTGTTGCTCTTCCAGATTGCTTCCCGCCCTCCTACGGTCTCTTCCAGTTTACCGCCAGCCCCTAGTACGGCCTCCCTGCTGCCTCCGGGGTTGCCGGCAGTTCCCTACAGCCACCCCGCAGGTACCGCAGCCCCTGCTGCCCTACCAGGTCGCCGCTCCAGCACTCCCACTCCAAACTCCCTACTCACTAAGCATGTTGTTACTTTAATTATTGAGTCTTAGTTGTAATGTTTGTTCTATGTTTTGATTTATGTTGTCTTTTCTTTTCTTTTGAGTCATCGTTGTAACCATCCATTTAAGTTATTATTAAATTTGTGTCTTGTGTCGTGATTTGGGTTAACTCTAGTAGCATTTGGTATCAGAGCTAGTCCAATCCTAGGGTCCCTAGCATACGCCCCTGCCAAATCCACCACCAATTTTTTTTTTTTTTGGTTCATTTTTTTCTCTTCTTTCTTTTCTTTCCTTCCACAGGTCCCAAACCATCAAACATGTTATCAAGAAGAAATATGCCCAAGCCTGCCCGAAAAGAGATGCAATGAAAACTCCACCAACAAAGAATTGCAAAGATTGTAGAGATGACACAGGAAGAAATTACCTTCGACCGAAGCTTGGAAAGTCGAAGGGGAGAGAGAGAAGAGGATCTGAATCTCTTACATAGAGATAATTTTAACGATGAAGAAGATGAATCCAATATTAGAGGAGACCTAAAGAAGGATACACGCGTCCCTTCAACAAGGAAACTTTCCAAGAAGATATGTTATTTGGAGAGCACCAAGACCACGGGATCGAGGTAGATTTGCCCGAGTTTGAGGAGAGCATGAATCCAAATGAATTTATTCGATGAATTTATTGAATGGCTACAGGCAGTTGAGCGGATCTTTGAAAACAAAGAGGAGCCCAAAAAGAGGCAGGTCAAATTCGCTGCTGTCGAATTGAAGAGAAGTGTCTCCCTATGATGGGAAAATGTACAGCGACAGAGGAGACAAGAAGGCAGACAAAAGATTACTAGATGGGAGAAGATGAGGAAAACCATGCAGAAGAAATATCTTCCCCCTCATTACCTCCAAGACATGTTTTTGAAACTCCTCAATTTACAGCAGATAGACATTACAGTGGAAGAGTTCACAATTTAGTTCGACCACTTACAACTGAAGTGTAACCTGACAGAGCCAGAAGAGAATACAATAGTCAAATATCTTGGGGGTTTGAAGCCTAGTATCAACAATGTGGCGCAGCTACAACCGTACTGGACACTGGAGGATGTTCAGACACTGGCAGAGAATACAATAGTCAAATATCTTGGGGGTTTGAAGTCTAGTATCAACAATGTGGCGCAGCTACAGCCGTACTGGACACTGGAGGATGTTCAGACACTGGCATTGAAAGAGGAAAGGCAACAGAAACAGAGCTGATAGCCACCACCCATCAGACAGCCACCCACAATTTGAGACACATACAAAAGTACGCCGCAAAGGGTTGAGAAAATTAGTTCAAATACGGATAGAGCCACTCCTAGTGAGAAAAAACAGACAACAATACCTGCCAGAAAATGCTACAAATGCCACGGATTTGGGCACATAGCCTCCAGCTACACAACAGGCAGAGTTATATCTTTTACTAAATAGGGGGTCGTGGAAGAGGTTAGTGAGGAGCAAGAAACTGCGAACAGGTTGAGGAGCATCAACATTCACCAGATAAGGGAGAAGCACTTCTGATTCGCCGAATTCTACAGACCGAGGAAATGAGAGATACGCAAGTGTTTCGCCACAATATTTTCTACACCCGCTACACAGTGAATGGAAGGTATGCAGTTTATCATTGAGAGCAGTAGCAGTAAGAATATAACATCGGCCCAGATGGTAGAGAAACTAGGACTCACAACTCAGAGACATTTTCGATTATATTCACCAATGTGATTGAAGAAGAAAAACAGGATCAGCATCAGCCGACAATGCCTAATAGAATACTCAATAGGGAGTCTTCTGCAGGACCAGTTATGATTCCAGTTATGATGTGGTGTGATGTGTTCTCCATGAATGCTTGCCACCTTCTGCTAGGAAAAACAGTGGACCAGTTATGATGTGATGTGTTCTCCCTGAATGCTTGCCACCTTCTGCTAGGAAAAACAGTGGCAATTTAACAGGAAGACTCAGCATGATGGATTCAGAAACACATATTCCTTTACCAAGGACGGCAAACACCTCATTCTACTTCATTTGGTAGCGCCAAAGTGGATCGGAGCCATTACTAGCAGAGTAGCGGAATCGTCTTTAGCGACAATTGATTCTCTACCATCATGGCCACCACCATGCAAGAATTTCAGTCTCAGGAGATCGGACCAAGATTGAGGTGCACTCACAAGTGTTTTGGGAGGCAGTACAATCGATAATGGGATCTAGGCGTTCTCGTGATTAAAGACAAGGGACCAGAAGCTTCAACGGGTGAGGTTGAAGCTCCCCCAACCTTGGGAGACTGATGCAGGGATTAGGAGAGGATCGGCCGTTCTCAAGAAAGGAGGCCTGCCTCCCCCTCCTTCCTCTCCCTACTTTTTTTCCGCCTTTCCTTTTTATTTGCTTTCCTTCTTTTATTATTTTCCTTCCTAGCACTTGTCTATTTTAAAACAATCCCTAAAACTGAAATCCGATTTTATTTTGCTCCTCCTAATTTAAACATTTCCTAAAAGTCTTTCTTCTAATTGAAAACATTTCCTAAAAGCATAAATAGTGATTTTATTCTCTTTTCCTAATTTAAAACCCTTCCCAAAAATCTGAGATCTTAATTTTATTTGTATTCTCCTTATTTTAAATGTTTCCCAATATAGGTCATGCATTTTTATAAATAGAAAATGTTGTGCTTAAAGTTAGCGATTAGTTTTTGGATGAAATCTGAAATCAGTTTGTCTAAGTGTTTTCCCTATTGAGGGTTGTATCTGACGTCAAGGTACTGCTCTAGTTGTCCCTTATCTGGGTGGTGATCGTCTCCACAGGTCCGAGTGGAGTTCCGATTGTATCTCGACCCCGCTGAGATATTTATCTATCATTCCGTCCTTCTTGTTGTTGTCCACCCGCTCCACAACCTTATGAAAGCCCTCCTACAGCCTCCCTACTGCTCTTCCAAGTTTCTACAAGCTTTTCCAAGTTGTTGCCAACCCTCCTATAGTCTCTTCCAGGTTGCTCCAAGCCCTCCTACGACCTCCCTGCTGCTCTTCCAAGCCCTCCTATGGACTCACTTCAATTTTTGAGTCTTTATAGTAATGTTTGTTCTGTGTTTCGACTTATGTTGTCTTTTCCTTTTCTTTTGAGTCGTCCTTGTAACCGTTCGTTGAAGTTATTATTCGGTATCATGAACTCTTACCTCTTCTATGATAAAATAAACCTGTTTGATTTCCCATATGCAAGAGAAAGAAGCACTTCAACTTCTGTAAGTGAAAGTTCTTATTTCTAACATGTTGTTTGATTGCCAGGTAGAGAAGTGAACGTTTCTAGTTTCTTTTATTTCATTGTGCAGTAAAAAACAACAATAATATATTCTATTCATAATAAAACTACAATAATATATCCAAACGATTAATAAATTATAATTCTATGTAATTTTTTATTATAATTAACACACATCATACCTACAAAAAATTAATAACTTCTGTTTTATCTAAAAAATAAAAAAACATG